GTTTTGAGCCTGCGTCTGTTGAGGAAGCTGTGGCTGTGTCAGTGGCTGTAGTTACATCAGTACATCTACGTCGAGAGCTCAGGCTGCTGCTTCCCTGAAACAAGCAACCGTCCAGAGAAGGATGACATATTTTGCTGCATTTCAGGTAGCACTCCTCTCCAAACCACATCCCTTTGGGTATTTACTCTGCATCATGTTTTTTTCCTCACTTGTCAGTCATCAAAATAGCATCTGCTATTTTCAGTCACCCCAAGCTTCTTTGCTTGTTGGGGGTGTATATTCAAACACTTGCTGAGCTGTGTGCCCTGTTTGTCAGGCCCTGCTACACCTAAAATGAAAGATTTCAAACCTGCATGTTTCATAAATGCAGGCAAAAATGGTTTGTGGAGAACTTGGAGCTGTTTCCAAAGCTGAAGAAGCAGGAAAAGAGTGTGAGCTGAGCCCATCTGTGCTGAGGCAGTGTGTGGTTCGGGAGGAAACAAGGCATGATGTGACACTTTTCATTTCCTCACTTCTGTCGTCTTCAGCAAGACGTTCTGTCCCACACCTCCTTGAAGGAGAGATGCTCCTTAGCTATTCAGTAACAAATAGGGATAACAGGACACCAGCCATTTGCATCATGTCCTCAGCGAGACCTGCAATTCTGAAGAAAATCCCCAAAAACCGAATGAGGACTTTTTGCAGCCTGCCCTCCCCAGCTAATTTCAAGCCTCCTCTACTGAATGGTCTGTATCATAACTTCATCCTCTCCTATCTGGCTATCTGCTGCCTGTGCTGTCCCACGAGCAGGCGGGGTGCTGAAACATAGTGAAGAACCTGTTTCATCCAAGCATATGAATTCATTTTTATATTCCAGTATCTTGTGTGCTGCAAGGCACTGGGCTGAGTGTCTGCGAAGCAATTGCACCTGCAAACTGGACTGGAGCTGAGTCAGTATGTCTGGTTATTTAGGCTCGTGCGCTGGAGCTGCCTCTGTCTCTCACCCAGTGGCATGAAGTATTAGCAGGACAATGCCTGGCAGAAAACCAAGACGCATAGGTACTATCCTTGAGAGATGGATGGTTGTCCCCATTGTCCATGGGGAGCAAGAGCGAGCTGTGCCTTCCCCTCGGGTTGTGCAGGGGAAGGTGCCCATGGCCTCTCCCAGTTTTCCCACTGGAACGGGAGCTGGCCCGGCCCTTTCTTTAGAGTCAGTAAAGCATTGGCCTCCATTGCCTGTGCTGGCACTGGAGCACCTGGTGGTGCCAAGAAATACGGAGCAAAGAAAGGATCATCACATGGAGTGGCAAGGTTTTCCTGCCCTGAAATTGCAGTGGGACACTCTGCAGAGCTGTGGATCTGTCTGTGCATCCACCTCACAAATGCCTCCGTAGCACCTTGACCATGGTCATTGTGCTCTTCTTCCGCTGCTGTTGTTTTTCCGTCTGTTTGTTCACGGAGAAGCAAATGAATGTTCATCCTCTGCGTAGCCCAGTGCGGGGAGGAAGGACCTTATGTTGATTTTTGTGTAAAATATGCCCATCTGTTAGAATATTGTGTTTAAAAGAAGAAAAAAAAAAAAAGGCCATTTGCTGAACTGAAATACCTGCCCATGCCTTTGTCCAGGGATGGTTTCCTTTCCCATTTCTCTTGGCCAAAAATCACACAGTTGCTCGAGGCAGAAATAGTGACTTGTTGCAAGAAATGCATCTGGTTAATGAATTCATATGGAGTATCGTTAAACATCTGGTGAATGCTGTTAGACAGAATTTTTGCATGTTAGTGTTTTGATTTTTGTCCTCAGTGAAACTGTGTGTGTTGAAGGCATGATCTGCTCTTCAGGAGAACCCTGCTACTGAGTCTAATTTTTTCCCCACTGCCGAAATTCATGGAGATGGGCAATGCTGCCAGATCTGCAGTCTGCCATGTGCTATGAGTGTGGTGCATGGATTGGTTTGCCGGTTGGTCCTGAAGGTCTTTCTGGTGGGGATGACTTCCCTGCAGCTTGGTGCTGGGACCGCCTGGTTCTCTTTATTATGAGATCAGCTTAGGGTAAGACTGCTCCCTTGCTGGGGAGCCAGGCGTTCCTAGGCTAGAACAGATGGAAATCAGCTGCAATGGATTTCCTGTTTTTTATAATATCCACATTTCTACTGCAGGGAGTGGCGGTCCTGTGGGGAAGGAGGTATGTTGTGGCATGAGCAGGGCCATGTTCCAGAGCAGCAGCCTCTGGAAGAAGCTTCCTGGATTTTTCCTACCTAGTGAAGATTTGTTATCCTGGGTGAAAGGCTCCTAAAGCAGGTTGTGCTATGCTCCATCCATGGGCTGTCAGCACTGAGAACACCTCCAGCCCAAAGCTTGGGTGCTGACTGATGTGTAGTTGCTCTTAAATTGTAATTCCTTCATTGTGACAAAGGCTGGTGGCTTTTTAATCTGCTGGACTGGGGAAGGAGATGCATGGGGCTTCACAGGTGATATTTAAGCAATATTTTGCAAGACTGTGGTTAGTTGTTCCCCTTGGTCTGCCTGGCAACATTTTTAACCTTGCTGCCTTAATCTCTGCTCCATCAGAACAGTTGCTGTTGAGTTTTTCTTTCCTCCCTCAGAATCTGAGGGTTTTTTCATCTATCCTGGTGTTGCATAACTTCTCTCAGTGCAAAGCTCTGCGTCACTTCCCCCACCTTCTCCCAAAATGCAAAACTTGGTCATTTTTCTCAAAGCCAGGAATGCTTTGTAGGGAGCTGAACTCATCTACTTTGGCGGTGAGGAGTGGGATATCTCACTGTGTCTTTGGCTGTGCAAAGAGCACAGAGCTGCTCTAGCAAATAGCAAATCAGCAAGGGCTTATTTCCTCCTCCCTATCATTCTTGAAACATGGTTTTTCTTTTCAGTGGGAGTAATTTTTTTCATCTTTGAGTTGGTGTGTCCTTCTGAACCCTCTTCCCAGGCTCTCTGTGGAGTTAGCACTTGGAGCTCTCCAAGGAAGCAAGCAGTGTATTATCCATCACAGGAACCTGGCACCTTTTGGATGTAATTCACTTGCAAAGCATTAAAGATTTTCTCAGTCATGCTTCAATGTCAGTAGCAGGATAGCTTTTTGTTCTTCTTCACCCCCGCTGCCTGCACTCTTTCTCTGATGACAAGTATCTGGGGAAATTTGTTTTTGTGAAACACTTGACATATAGCATGACTTTCCTGTCCTAGCAGTTCATGGCAGAGAGCCTTTAAGTTCCTCTAGTAATGTAACTTTTTTTTTCCTTTTTCTTTTCTTTGTGGCTTGTCACAGTTGCTGACCCTCGTCAGTAGAAGGAGAGGAAGGGGAAGACTGGAAGTGAACTTAAAATGTGGTATTTTTCAGTTTGCTCATCACTTTATTCACTGGATGAGCAGTGACAAACTGATTAAACACTGATCCTTTAGTGTAGGGAGCTGATGGAGAATAGAGGTGCTGTGGATCTTTCAGCAGTGGGGATGAAGAAGTAAATGCAGATTAATTTCTCCTGGAGGTGTGCTGGAATTGCATCTCTCCCAAAGCAATTTGGTCTTTGCAGTTATTCTGAATGTGGCTAGAAAATAAAAAGTTGATAGCTGGAGCAGTCTGCATCAGCTGGGAGTGGAGCAGGTAGCACAGGGGTTGCAGGACCCTGGTTCTGCCCCTCTTCTGTACCGCGATGGAGCTCAGGTACTGGGAAGGTGGTGGGGGGATCCCTGACTGGCAGGTACCCTAGGGATGCTGAGGTGCTCTAGTCTTGGGGCAGGAGAGACCTGATGCCTCCAACCTTGGGACTGAGCTGCTGCTCTTGCAAGATCTGCTGCGGGGCAGGGAAAGGGGAAAGGAGGTGTGGATGGCAGGGACCCACAGGCATCTCTCCTTGGGGCTTCAGCATCTGCACCACCAGGTGGGTTTTGGCAGTATTACCCTGGAGAAACATCTCTTCCTTTAAAAAGTGATGCATCTTAGAAATGAGAGGCTGTTGTTTGCTTTTAAATCTGTTCTTCCAGTTTGTACTGGTCACTGGCTAGCTGTAGAGAGAGTGGCTTTCTAATCAAACGTATCAGATCATGTACCATGGAGAGGGAGTTAATCTTCAGGAACCCTCCCTGGTGCGTGTCTCCTCTGCCTGCCTGCTCAGCTGAAGGCAGCTTTTAGCTCTTCTAAAAGAGCATCTCGGAACCGGCTTTTCATCTGCTACTGAAAGGCCTTACATCCTCCTGCTTAACATTTTGGAGGGATATTTTGTTACTAAAAACAAGAGCATTGTAGGCTGGGATGAGTGGTCCACAGGAGGTAACCTCTGCACTGCCCTCTTTTCGAGCACTGTCATGAGGTGAACTGGCTCCTGTCTATATAGATTGGGCAGCACTCTAAAACTGGCAGCTATGTTTCCTTTTGATGCTCTGACCATATTCCTGGAAGAAATCTGCAAGAATCTGCTTGAAAATGAAGTTGAGGTGATTAACACAGCTGTTTGGGTAGGCTCATCCCAGCAGGGCCAGGAGGTACTTCTCTAAGACCAGTAATTTCCACCTCAAAAATTTCTCCTGAAAAATGCTGCACAGTGGTAACATTTCAACAATTTTTTTTCTTAGTATAAATCTATAAATGCTGCTACATTCAGTAGCCAGGAGCTGTTAGTTCCTGATTTTTTTTTTGTTTGTTTGATCCTTATTGTCTACTGAAACAGAGCCTGGCTTTGTTCTGAGCAGTTGGTAGGAAGCAGATTATACCTATATATATGTGTATATTCACACACATACACTTATTTTTTAATGTCTGTATATATATATATATATATATATATGTGTGTGTGTGTATGGGGGAGTGGGAGAGGAAAATGCACAAGAAGAGTTCTACTCTTGCCAGAATGCTGTCAGATGTGAAGTTACTTTGCAGGACGGTGCCTGCCTTCTTCACTTGCATGCTACAAACCTGTGTGCAGCCTTTGCATAAAATATAGTTGATTTTCTGATCCCTTGCAGTGGCAGCTGACTGATGCTCTCGTTTTGTCTCACAGGAGGAGCCAGCTCCCGTGGTGCAGGGCCGGAGGTCATCGCTCAGTGGGGTGTGCTACCTGACCATGGGTCTCCTCGTGCTGCTCCTGGGCTTGGTCTTTGCATCGATGTATGTGTACAGATACTTCTTCATCACCCAGGTAGGGGCGAGTTGGGAGGGACTGCTGGCTCTTCAGCTGGAGCAACCAGACAAGCTGCTTCAACCATTGAAAGAGATGGTGCTCTTGTTTACTGCTTTGCTGTGTGGTAACTCAGGAGCCGGTCCTTTGGGCACAGCAGATGGGGCATGCCTGAAGCAGTAGGCTCAGGCTCACCTCCGTCCTGACTGCCAGGAAGGTCCTTCTGGAAGTCCTTCTCTTTAGCTCCCTTGTCATTTTATCTTGCCTTTTTTTTTTTTTTAACTTCATAAAAATATCCTGCCAGCTCTACCTTGTACATCCAACATCGCTGCTGTCAGGGGTAAGCCCATTTGAAAGCGTGGCTTGTGTAGGGAGAGCCGGGGAGGTACAGGCAAGGCAAAGCAGCTTTTTGCAGTGGATTTTTTAGGCCCTGTCACAGCAAAACTCTAGGCGTAACAAAAATAGGTGCTGCTATTAATAACGCAAGCAGAGAAGTGAAAAGTAAGTGGGAGATGGTACAGAAGGTGAGCTCTTGACCTCCGTTAAATTCAGCACCTTTTCTTCCACGCACTCGTTGCAAAACCTGGCCCAGCTGGGGTGCTGGGCTGGCAGCCTTGTGGTGGGTCAGAGCGTAGGGATTAAAACAGGGCAGAGCTGCTTTTTAAGGAGGAAACTGGTGAGCTCTGTGGCTTGCTGAGTGTTCAGCCAAGAAACCCCAGAGCATCCATTTGTTCTGGAGCCCTCATTCTGCTGTGGAGTAGCTATTAGTGAATGAGTTCTCCTAGGACCACCGGCTGCCTTTGTCTGCAGCCAGCACTTATCCACTCAGCAATACAGTCTTTTTATACAATCCCTTGCTCCATAAATATTCTTGCTGTCAAATTAATTTGCAATCTCTATTTTAAAGTACCTCAATGTGTTATTAACCGTGCTCATTTATACCTGATCTGGAAACCTTGTGACAACTGTAGGGCTGCTCAGCCCTCCCACACAGCGCTGTGTTAGTGTGATGGTGCCTTATTGCAGAGTTTTTGCTGTAGATACTTCCTTATGAGAAGAAGCCCTTGGCACTGAGGGAACGTTATTGACCAGTGCTCAGTCTGTCACCCAGTCAATAACCTACCCTCAGCACATGCTGAACAGCACTGGGAAATGCCCACTGGTCCATTTGGGGCCACCCATTGTCACCCCCACTGCCTGCTTGCGATACCAAATGGCACCTTACATCCAATTACACGGCAAAGCCCATTAAGCATGGTCAGAGACTCTTTGGGGACCAGGGCAATGGGGCCTTGTCTCAGTCTCCAATGGTTGCAATTTGTCCCTGTGATCTTCATGCTTAGACTTCATCACTCTGTGTTAGCTCTTTTGCCCATAGCTTGTGCTTCTGGAGCCCTGGAGAGGAGCAGTTCCTGTTTTGCAGTGAGGCGAAGGTGCTTTGTTTTGGTCATTTGCCCTATTCAAGATACAAGTGCCTTTAGAAATGATACTCTGCTGGCCCCAAGCTTATGTGCCTTATGCAGAAAAATGCAGTTACTGGAAGCCGTGGCTATGGAGGGATGTGAACAGCTTGGTTGTGAAATTTAAAAGCCTACAGGCAGTCAGTTTATCTTTCTGAATTACTCCTTGTGAAATCCCACAGGGAATCCTTTATTCCCTTTGGACCTGGCTAGCAGGAACATGGTGAGTACACAAGGGTATTTTGCACTACCTTCATAAAGAAGGGCTTCTGGTAAAAAGGCTGAGCTTGAAATATTCTCCAGCATCTGTTTGAAAAGGGTGTTTTTACCCAATATGAGTATATTTCTTGTATGTTGTTAGTGGGGTGTATGAGTGTTGTACCTCTACCTGGATCTTGTCCCCACAGCTGCCCCGCGAGAGCGTGTTTCACTGCGGTGTCCTTTACGAAGACTCGCTGTATTCGCCATTCAAAGGGCAGCTGGAGTTGCATGAAGATGTCAAGATTTACATTGAGGAGAACTATGAGCAAATCAATGTCCCAGTGCCCCAGTTTGGAGGGAGTGACCCGGCAGATATCATCCACGATTTCCAGCGAGTAAGGAGCTCTTGGGGCCTTTGCGAGTGTAGCAGAGGGCTGAGCAGTGCTCATGGCCTGGTGCTGTCACTGTTGTCACGTGTGTGTGACAGTCTTGTTACTGAGCTGTCCTCCTTCCCAGGGCCCTCTCTGAGGTTTTCCAGCCTGCTTGTCTTGCTTGGTAAGGGGGTCCTTAGAGATGTTTGTTGCTTAAAACAGTTTCCTGTCTTTCCTGAATTCCCACTTTTCACCCATCTTCACAGCCACATTTCACTGCTGTGAAAATGAAAGGTTTTCACACAGAAGGTTCCGCTTAAATTTCAGAAGGAACTTCTTTGCAGTGAGGGTGACGGAGCACTGGAACCAGGCTGCCCAGGGAGGTTGTGGAGTCTCCTTCTCTGGAGACATTCAAAACCCACCTGGACACCTTCCTGTGTGATCTCATTTAGGTTCCTGCTCCGGCAGGGGGTTGGACTAGATGATCTTTCGAGGTCCCTTCCAATCCCCAACATTCTGCGATTCTGTGATTGCGATAGGCTCAATTCCTTAATTTCTGTGCTTGGAATGCAGGGTCTGACAGCTTATCATGACATAACGCTGGATAAGTGCTACGTCATCGAGCTGAACACCACTATTGTGATGCCTCCTCGCAACCTGTGGGAGCTACTGGTTAACGTGAAGGTACAGCTGCAATCCTGCTTATTTTATGTGCTTTTCTGGAGTTGGCTCCTGGGTGCCAGCTAGAAGCTTGTGGGAAACCAAAACTACTGTGTTAGTGGAAGTAAGACTTGGCCCTAACAGAGCTGAGTCTTTACATAGATCGAAGGCTTCAGAGGGTTTAGCTTAAATACTAGTTTTGCAGACACCGCAGTAACACTGGCATGGTGGATCAACCTGACCAGGGTGAGACAGAGAAGTAGCAGATTCCTTCCCTCTGGTGTTTACTGATAGTAGGAATCAAGGAAAAAAAAAATAAATTCCCTCCTTTCACCCTTGCCGTGGTTACTGCTGTGGTTTGCCGTTAGCAGAGCTCTCGGTGTCCCATGGGGAGTACCAGGCTGTCAGCTTCCACCCTTTGCGGGGGTGGAATCTGAGCTGCCCTCCCCATTGTGCTGAGGGCTGCAACACCGGACTTGAGCTAATGCAGTTTTGCTCACAGCAGGCATAAATTAGGTTTAGTACCAGCAGGTTTGTTCAGTTGAGAAGTCTGTGCTGCTATTGCAGTGACTGAAAACAGTCTTCTTAAAATAGACTACTATTTAATCCTAACAGCAGGAAAAAACACCAGGATTTTTAAGAGTGCAGAAAATGCATATCTATCTCAGTCTTTTGCAGGTAAAGCAAAGCACTGAGCTTGGGTCTCTTACTTCCTTCTGTGAGGGTCTATTTAAAAGAAAAGAAAAAAAAAATCTCTTACTCTTTCTTAAATTCCCTTTATTCACTTGCTGCTGCATGCAGTGTGTTGAACTCTGTAGGGGTTAAGCTCAGAGGCAAAAGGTTTTTCCTTGAGAGATGCCTGATCTCCAGTCCTTCTCAAACTCCCTGTTTGTTCCTAGCAGTCCTCACAATTTCATGCACTGTGACTGTCTGGCAAATGTGCTGGGAGCCCTGCTGAGGTACAACACACTTTTACTTACAACTTACTCCACACCAGCCACAGCTTATGACTGTGGCAGGGGACCAGTCCTGGGGACAGAGGAAAAAGGAAAAGGCAGGATTGCACAAACTGACAGCAGACCCCCAGAAAAGAATTGAGAGATTGGGAATGCTGGTCACATCCTAAAATAAGAGATATAAAATCACAGTCAATGAAAATGATGCTTTCTCTTCATCAGAAATTGAACTAAAATGTGGATAAAAAGACAATTAAAATAGTCTTTACATGTTTGATTTTTTAAAGAGAGTACAAAGCAGATGTGGGTTTAAATAACTTTCTGATTAATGACATGGGTAAGTGTCCAATCTGTCTATGGAGGTTTTAATATGCACTTTAGAAACATGGTTTTTAAGTGTTTAGTTTGGTCTTGAGCTCAGAAAAGGTTTTTTATTGTAAGGACAGAAGTGGTGGAATGGGTAGTGGGAGGTTGTGCTGCCTCCTTGAAATCCTTATAGGTTTTCAAGACCAGACTGGATAAAGCCCTGAGGAAGCTGGTCTGACCTCGTAGCTGCCCCTTCTTCGAGGAGGAGGTGTGACCATAGATCTCCTGAGGTGTCTGTCCAGCTGAATTATCCCGTGAGCCTGTGATCCTCGTGTCCACAGGCACAGCCTTGCTGGTGGCTTGTGTCAGGCAGAGAGGGCAGATTTCTCCCTGCTGTGGGGGACCTTCATTACCTGATGAATTGACCCCCTTCTCTGAAGTGCTTCTAGTTTGGGTGCTGGATGAGCCGTGTTGGTCCTTGGACTTGGAGACTTTTCGTTTGCACCTCTTGTTCCTCCTTTTCCCTTCTCCACTTCTCTGAATCCAGTCAAGTTTCTAATGAATGAGACTAGTTCCCAGACTAATTTTGAAAATCTTCAGTGGCTTCAGTCCTGTTTCTAGGAGCAAACCTCAGTCCAGCAAATAACATTAGCAGCTTGCACCAGCAGACTGTGGCAGCACAGGGAATGAGTGAACCTCCTTTGCCCTTTCCTCCCTGGCCAGCCTGGTGCCAGGGTGCCCCTTTGCAGTGTGGCTTCTGTGTGCCTTCTGCCTGCTTTGCAATCCCTGGTGTGTGTGGGCACGGCTGTGCCAGACCCCACTCAGGTCTTGGCCCTGCAGTCACAGTGTATGTGTTACCAGGCCTCTTGGATCTGATTTTTCACCTGTGAATGGCAGCTATGCTACTTCTTGCAGACTTTATTATATATAGGTCTAATGGTTTAATGAACAGGGCTGCATAAGTGTCTGAGAGAAAAGGATGGAAGGATGCTCCTCCCATGCAGCAGCAGGAAGTTGGAGATGACCCAGTTAAATGGGGGATGATCCACATCTTTTGCAGAACCCAAGACGCTCAGTGCTCTAGTTTTCTTAAAACTCTCGGCGCAGAATTGAAGGTATCATGCTTGTTGCACAGTCCTGCAGTGGAGGAGCAATGATTCCTGACTACTTCAGCTGCCACAGCTATTTAAACCTAAAACAGTGAAGAAACTGGATTGTGTGCATGTGTGTGTCTCTAAGCCCTATCTCCATGTCAAGGATATGGCAGATCCTGAGCCCCGGCCCCAGGTGTAACATGGCAACTCCTGACAGTAACTGCACATATCACATGGCCTCTCCTGCACTCTCCCACTGAGAACCAATAATTGAATTTCTTGCAGAACTGTTGTGTTAGTGTAGTACAAACTTCCACTAATAGTCTGGTCCTCCAGCATTAAAAGAAAGCTTTGTCGATCCAGTAGGCTATACCAGCCCAGCAGCACAGCACTAAGTTAAGACAGTGTGTTTCCAGGTACATCTCTATGGACATAACCAGTCCTGTGGTGGAAATTGAAGAGGTGACATTTGAAGTTGTGCTGCTGTTGTTTGCTTTCTCCCCTGATTATATTTACATTGGCCCTAGGCCGGTTCTTTTATTTCTTTGACTCTTCTTAAGTGAAAGAGACCAGAAGTGAGTCTTTGCTGCATGACCTAGTTCACATCTAGTCTTCTCAGAGGTGGCCCCCAGCCCAAGCTGTACTTATAACACAGCTGCTTATTGCCACAGTCGTGCCCAGACAGCTGTGAGATGGCCTGAGCACCCAGGGATCAGCTTGCAGAGAGTCCCCATTGCCGAGCAGATCTCTCTCCTGCAGGGA